AAAGAGAGTGAGAAAGAATGAGAGAGAAAGAGAGGGAGAGGAAGAAAAGCTCGAGACAGCCGATCCGAGCGATTCGATTCTTCCGATACTCATAAACGATAAGCATCGACGGCTACGAATGTTTTGTCACACCATGCGCTAAATGTATAAAAGATATCTATACTATCGGGACACAGCAAACACTGAAAATATTGGTTTGTTGGATAAGGACGGAGGGGTCCATATCACAGAGACAGACAGAGAGAGAAAGATAAAGACATGGGAAGAGTAAAAGAGAGAGAGAGAGAGAGAGAAAGAGAGAGAGAGAGACACAAGTTGTAGGAGAATTGCACATTATATTTCGACGAACGTTTTTTCGTGTGATGCTGAATTCGGCTCAAAAAAAGACGAATCTTCGGAGAAGGAAGAGACAGGTAAAGACGCGCGAAAAAAAAAGACAAAAAGATAGAGAAAAGAGAAGGAAAAAATGAGAGAGAGAGAGAGAGAGAGAAATAGAAATAGAAAGAGAGAGAGAGAGAAAGATAGACAAAGAGAGAGCCATCATCGTATTCGTGTATGTAGTTAGCATTTTTGTTTATTCCCCGGAGGACCGTGCTAGCGAAGAAGATGGCAAGAGAGGTTTGATAGTATTTCACACGTGACCGAAGGGAAATGAAGATGTTGGCATTTCCCGGATAGAGATGAGCGACGTCGGCCGCTGCGGGACGTTCGCTAATGGATCCCCAACATCGCAATGTGTAGTGGCGATCCTTGTATGAAAGTTGAAAATTGACAGTCCATGTTGCGACTGATTTCGCGGTTTAATTGCGACAGCGAAATGCGATTAAAGGCAGATCGAAGCGAAGAATTAATTTCAATGTAGCAGAAAAAGTGATTTTAACTTGAAATTGGAGGGAACGCGTTTTCAGGAAGTTAAGTGCCTTATCGTCTAGATTAGAACTAGTCCCAAGATCAATTCGTTTGTACACGACGATAGAGCTGTCTGATAGCTGATACTTATACGGGACAGATAATATCTTTTAGTATTGATATTTTTTATCAAAGTGAATATGACGTGCTGGTATTACTTATATAGCATCAAAAATATACTGAGAAATAAGTACTTGGTATTTCTGACTATAATTGCACAATAAAATAATTATGGCTAGGAGCTCCATTTTTATAGTTATTACTACTGTAATATTAATAATATATATATTTATAGTTATATATATA